ACTAAATCAACGAAGAACATGATAGATACACAGAATTTATACGACAAAATGATAGATTAAGAAATATTTCATACACACTCTACGTGAGAGTACCTGAGATCTAAAGAATATGCAGAGTGGATTGAGGAGAAGAATTCAGAGAAATCGATAATCTGCAAAAATCGTCAAAAATGCGTTCTCTTTGAAATGCATAAGTAATTAACTACAACAAAAAAATTAAACGATCAAAATTGAAAAAATAAAAGGAAATAAATTTAATTAAGCTTTTTGAAGCTCAAATTTAGTAAAAATGTAGAGTTTGGGACTCACATAATTACAGAAATCTTGCACTGAATTAACTTCCATTGATTTTGTTTGACGAGCAAACAGTGTGCGTGTGTTTGAATGAGTAGATTTCTAATTGAAGTAAAGGAATACTTACGTGAGTTGGGCTGCTTTGCACTGTTGCTTCAGTTGTGGGTAGAAGAACCAGAGAGCTAGATGAGGGGAGACCTTCACGTCCCTAACCGAACTTCAATTCGAGAATCGATTGATGGCACCTTGGGTGGGAAGATGTGACTGTGAGAGTTTGAAGGGAAGCTAGGGCAGTTCGTGGGAATTCTCAGACTGGGTGGGGAGAAGGGCTTTGGGTTGTAATGGCTATTGGGTCTTTCTTCTTGGCTGGTATGGGCGGGCAGGTAAGAGAAAAAAAATTAGCCTTTTGGGGGTGGGGCCCAAAATGTTTAACGACAACGCGCAATGTACGTTGCTAAAAGTTAATTACAATGTTCAAGAGTGCGTTGCAAAAAAATATAATGGCAACATGCATTGTCTATTGCTAAAACTAATAACTGCAACGCGCGATACACGTTGCTAAAAATCTAAGCACAACACGCAATGTACGTTACCAAAAGTCAATGGTAACATTCAAACGTGCGTTGCTAAAACAACAAAATGGCAACACACATTGTCTGTTGCTAAAACTGAATAACGGCAACGCGCAATGCATGTTGCAAAAACTCTAAACGCAGCGTGCTTTGCACGTTGCAAAAAGAAATTAAATGACAACGAATTTTGCATGTTGTAAAAAGTTGTATTAGCAACATCCCTTAAAAAAACATTGTGAAATCTCCATTTAGTCATTCAATAGCAACATACGCTTACTGAACGTTGCGATAGACCCCTTTTAGCAGCATGCAATTGGTGAATGTTGCCTTTTACATATTGCAAAAGGCCTTTTTTCTTGTAGTGGATGCCCTTCCAAAATGGGCAGTACATAAGATTGGCAGGGCAAGAGGCCTCGCTGAACACAATAGCCCCACAAAATTGATCTAACAAATCATCTAATCCAGAGATATGTAATAAGTAACGAACGGTGAACTTATATATGGCTTCGGTAGTCCACACATATACGCAAACTACCATCATTTTTTGATAAAAGTACTGGCACCATGCATAGATTATGACTCTCATGTCTATGCCCCTTTGCAAAATAATCATCAGCCAAACAATGCAAATCTTTGTGGTTACTCAGACTCGTTTAACATTGTGTTGGAGGAAAGAGGGGTTTACTAACTTGGATTGGCTAATGCTTTTAAGAAGGACAACACTAATAGGAAGAATGAAGTGAACAAAAGAAAACTTGTATTTCTCAACTTCAAAATTTACACACTTTTTGGCTTGTTACAAAATAGAGGACACTACCTTTTTATATAGTGTTTACATGAAGTTTCTAGTCCACACAATTTTCTAGAAACACCTAGACAACACATTTGTACAAAATATTTTCCTAGAATTCTCTAGATATTCTTTATAAGACGACATATCTTACTTAGATATTTATATAGATTTTTCTAGTAGATATTTAAATACTTTTTTCTAGATAATGTTTCTAGAAACACTAGGCATGTTAGGCCTTTTAATTGATTTAGGCCTATAAGCAAAATCTTTAAGCCCATATTATTTAATCCAAAAATCAAGTTTACTACTCAACATCCCTCCTTAAACTTGATTTTGCTACTCCAAGTAGAGTTCTTAGCTTGCAGAACACATCATGCTTGAGTGGCTTAGTGAGAATGTCGGCGATCTACTCCTGGGAGGTTACATATTTCAGCTGCACTTCTTTCTTTGTAATACTTTCTCTTATGAAGTGATATCTTGTATCAATGTGCTTGTTTCTATCGTGGAATACTAGATTCTTTGCCAATGCTAATATCGATTTGTTATCGATATAGATTTCGGTTGGCTCTTCTAGTGATATTCCAAGCGTCTTCAACAAGTTTCTAAACCAAATTGCATGGTAGACACTTGATGTAGCTGCAACTGATTCAGCTTCACATGTACTATGATCGATTGCTTCTTTGAGCTCCAAGTGAAAGCTGTGTCACCCAAGTAAAACACATACTCAATCATACTCTTTCTATCATCACTGTCTCCACCCCAATCCCTGTCACTATATTTAACAAGTTTGAATTCATTAGATGATGAATAGACTAAGCCATAATCAAGTGTACCTTTGATGTAGCGAAGAATTCTCTTTGTAGTTTTCATATGGGTCATGGTAAGTGTCTCCATATAGCGACAGATGAGCCCAATTCCAAAAAGGATATATGGTCTTGTGCACGTCAAATATCTTAGACTTCCAACAAGACTCTTAAAAAGTGTTGGGTTTACTTTTTTACCTACATCATTCTTCGACGACTTGGTTCCACATTCGATGGGGGTGTATACAGGCTTGCAATACTTCATATTGATTTTTTTTTTTAATTTCTTTCACATATCCTAATTGTAGATAAAGATGCAATTCTCCATTTGCTTTACCTTAATCCCAAAATAGTAGGCCATGAAGCGGATATCTGTCATCTCGAATTCTTGAGCCATTACCTTCTTAAACTCAGTGATCATACTTTGATTATTTCCTGTGAATATAAGATCATCTACATACAAACAAACAAGCAAAATATCTTCTTTTTCATTTACCTTTGTATAAAGGGCATACTCGTGAGGGCATTTTATTTTTTCGAGAAAATACTTGTCAATTCTATTATTCCATGCCCTTGGAGCTAGTTTTAACCCATATAAAGTCTTTTTTAGTTTCAAGACTTTACCTCATGTCCTTTTATTTTATAGCCCATTGGTTGCTCCACATAAATTTCGTCTTCAAGATAACCATTTAAAAAGCTGATTTCACATCCATTTGAAAAATCTTTCACTTATTTTGTGCTGTAAGAGAGATAATTAATCTTATGGTTTCTAAACGAGCAACAAAAGCAAATATCTCTTCATAATCGATTCCTAAATGTTGGTTGTATCCTTTAGCAACCAATCTTGCTTTGTATCTTTCTACTTCTCCTTTAGTGTTCTTCTTTGCCTTGTACACCCACTTAACTCCGATCGCTCTCTTTCCTTTGGGAAGAATTGTCAGCTCCCAAGTGTCATTTTTCTCAATAGCCATAATCTCTTCATCCATCGCATCCCTCCATCTTTTATTTTGCGACACTTTTCCATACCCTATTGGCTCACAATCGGCAAAAAGACAAAAGAGGGTGAGATCATTTTGATTTTCTGTTACCTCATATAGCTCTTGTAGGCTCCTTATCCGTGGTGTCCTTTCGCTTGAGTTTTCTCCTTGTGAAGATGATAGAGAAGCATCTCCATGAGTAGGTGATAGAGGTGGACTGATAATCTCTTGCTGCTTTCCATTCTATTGTTCTTCTTCATCAAAGAATGATAAGAAGTCATAGTCTTCTTCTTGGACGCCCCAATCCCAAGCTCCTTCTTCATCAATCTCGACATCTCTACTTATGATGATCTTCTCCAAGTTTGGATTATACAACTTGTAGCCTTTAGAACGAGAGTCATAACTGATAAAAACATACCTTCGCTTTTATCATCTAACTTGGACCGCTTTTGATCTGGTACATGAGGATATGCAATGCTCCCAAATACTTATAGATGAGAGATGCTGGGCTTTCTTCCACTCCATGCTTCTTGTGGTGTCTTATTCCAAACACTTCTAGAAGGTGATCGATTAGATAGATACACGGTGCAATTAACAGCTTCGACTCAAAGTTCTTTGGGCAATCTCTTACTTTTAAGCATACAACGGGTCATGTTAAGAATGGATCTATTCTTTCTTTTGGCTACTCCATTTTGTTGTGGGGAGTATGGAACCGTCAATGGACGACGAATTCCATTCTTCTCACAATATTTCTCAAACTCTTTAGAGGTGAATTCTACTCCTCTATCTGAACTCATGGTTTTTATACTATAGTCACTTTCTTTTTCAACAAAAGTTTTAAACTTTTTGAAAGTTTCCAAAACTTCCAATTTTTGTTTGAGAAAATAGACCCAAGTCTTTCTACTAAAATCATCAATAAAAAGAAAAAAGTAACTGCTCTTACCAAGAGAGCTTGGATTGAATGGCCCACAAACATCCGAGTGTACAAGTTCTAGTAGCTTCTTAGTTCTTGTAGATGCTTCTTTTGAAAAAAATTTCCTTAAATACTTTCCAAGTAAGCATCCTTCACATAATTGATCTGTATGATTTATTGGAGGCAAACCTTTTACCATCTTCTTCTTACTCAACAACTTAAGCCTCCAAACTTAAGATGCCCAAATCTCAAGTGCCAAAGCCAGGACGAATCTTTAAAACAAGCTTTTAAGCATTCGACAACATCAATTTGAATGCTTAATGCAAACATTCTATTTCTTGTCATAGGGACTTTGGCAATCAAATTTTCCCTTTGATCTCTTATTGAAAGACTATGATCTTTCAAATATATATCATAGCCCTTCTCTAAGAGTTGTCCCAAACTTAAAATGTTATTCTTCATATTGGGCACATAATAGACATTTGAGATAAACCAATGCGTACCATTTTTCAAGCAGATCAAGATTTTTCCTTTTCCTTTCACCGGGATTTTGGATTCATCTCCAAAGGTAATATTTTCGCTTACTGATTCGTCAAGCTCCACAAACATGTTTTTTCTTCCACACGTATAGATGCTTGCTCCTGTGTCCTAATGCCAGGTGTTATTTTCTCTGCTCTCTTCAGCTTTGTAAGCAAACAGTAGTGCAGGATTCACTTCACTTTCCCGACAAGCATAGTTGGCTTTCTCCTCAACTTGGTCAATAATATTTCTACATTCTAAAGCATAATGACCAAGTTTTTGACAATTGTAACATTTAATTTGAGATTTGTCATACCTTGGCCCTTCATTTTGTCTAGTACCTTTTCCTCTTCCACGACCTCTGGTGAAAAATGAGCTTTGTTTTCTTTCCTCCTTATAGAATGCACTTCTTCCTCGATCTTGGCCTCATTCTCTTCCTCTTTGGGTTCTTATACTATCGAACCTTCCTTCATCCTTATTCAAAGTGAGCTTTGTTTGAAGAGCTTACACTAATAGCTCTTCTTTCACCTTTTCTTTAGTCTTTCATCATGGGCTTGTATAGATCCCATGAGTTGATCAACACTCATACTGTCTAAATCTTTAAATTCCTCAATGGCTACAACTATGTAGTCAAATTTAGAATCTAAAGACCTAAGTATCTTCTCAATTAATCGAGTGTCATTCAACTTTTCTCCGTTCCTCTTTAATTGATTCACAATAGCTAATACTCTAGAGAAATAATCAGAAATTGATTCCAATTCTTTCATATGTAAAGCTTCAAACTCACCTCGAAGTGTTTGGAATTGAACCTTTTTCACCTTCTCAACTCCTTTGTAGGAGTTTTGCAAGATATCCCATGCTTCCTTACTTATAGTAGCACAAGCTAATTTCTCGAACATGCCTTCATCTAAGGCTTGATAGATGAGGGTGAGTGACTTCTTATCCTTCTTTCTTGCAGCTTTCAAACTATCCCTTTGTGCTTGGGATAGAGCGACCTCGTCTTCTGGCTCTGTGTAGCCTTTCTCTACGATCTCCAATGCATCTTGTGACTCGAGCAACGCTTTCATTCTTATGCTCCAATTGTCGTAGTTATCCTTGTTGAGTTGGGGAACTTGAAAAGGAATCATCCCACTTGTCATTTTCACAAGAATCTTAGGGCTCTGATATCAGTTTGTTGGAGGAAATAGGGGTTTACTAACTTTAATTGGCTAAAGTTTTTAAGAAGGACAACACTAATAGGAAGAATGAAGTGAACAAAAGAAAACTTGTATTTCTCAACTTCAAGATTTACACACTTTTTGGCTTGTTACAAAATGGAGGACACTACCCTTTATATAGTGTTTACATGAAACTTCTAGTCCACACAATTTTCTAGAAACACCTAGACCACAGATTTGTTTTTCCTAGAATTCTCTAGATATTCTCTATAAGACCACATATCTTAGATATTTGTATAGACTTTTCTAGTAGATATTTATATAGATTTTTCTAGATAATATTTCTAGAAATGCTAGGCATGTTGGGCCTTTTAATTCATTTGGGCCTATAAGCAAAATCTTTAAGCCCATATTATTTAGTCCAAAAATCATGTTTACTACTCAACACATTGAAGATGGTTGGGTAGAGTAGTTTCAGGGACCAGATAAATATGGCGTTAGTTTTCTCATAATAGATGCAAAGCCAATAACAAGTTAGAAGGAGTACATCAGCAAATTTGGCCAGCAAAGGTAAATGCTAGAAGGAACTGCATGATCGTAACCACATTCTTTGCCAATTACGATAAACACCACATTAGACACCAAAGACTCCTCTTGAAACTGCCTATGTCAACAAATGTGTATTGTTGCCCAACAGAGGACATGCTAGAGTTATCTTTCTCTAGTCGTAGTAAAATTTTAGACCCACCAAACACAAAATTATATTATGCCTTTCATCATGCAGAACATTTCTATTAGATTTCCACGGACACCCAGCAAAAATTGACATGTGCCCAATGGAAACACATCACACCACACATGATCTAAATAATTACTACAATTAATAAAAAAGTAATGATACAATGATCAATGGTAACGTCGTTACCTTAGTTAAGCCAAGAAACGCGATATGGTTATGGTTGGGGTTCTGGTTGTAGCTCTAACATCTTAACAACCTCGAAAGACCCAACATTCTCACAACTCCCCTAGTCAATAATGAAATAGAAAATTTTCTCTTGATAGCGCAATTCAATATGAATCCCCTTTTCAGGTAGGTTTTGCCTTTGGGGGCTGATCACTTTTTATATCATATCTTGCCAGCTAATTTTCCTCATCATCCAGGCGGTCTCATGACCAAGGCCTGACCAACATCCCACCCACCAATTCTAAAGGAACATCTTCATCCACCTCGACATAAAAAATAGGAGCACCACCTTAACCAATCTCCTCACCTTCATCCAAATGGAACTTTTTTTTAGCTTTTCAATTTGGACAAGCTGTTTGATGATGGCTACAAGCAACAAACGAAAAGCACTACAAATTGCTACCTCTCGAGCAGTTGCTGGAGAAACTGGATTCACCAGAGGCGTGTTGCTGTTGCCAGTGAGACAAGGGTGCATGTAGGTAGTGATATGAGTTGCTCTAGATAACACTAATGGACCTAAAGAATGACGTGGGCTGATGATGAATACCAACTAGTGGTCCGATCCACCATCAAGGCTACTAAATATGCAACTTATTAAGATTTATTTTTAACAAACTTTCATCATTATCTTATCTATAATTTGGAATAACCAGCTTGAACTAAAAATTATCCTATCCCAACTACAATATTTACAACTAAATGTGATCACTGGCCCTTTCAATAACCAAAGCATAACAATGCAATAGAAACCAATCGAATTTTAACGATTTCACTATTTAAACAAATAAATTATGAGCCCATATAGCTATTTACAAGTGATGCAAAAATGATAGGAAAAAAATAAAATAAAATGTGTCAAAAAATAATGACTACATTCTCTATAAAATGAGTCATGCAAAATAGCTTGGTTGTGTGGCAGAGTGGCTCTGACTCCAGTATCAAAAGGTTCTTTTCCAAAAGTTGAATAAAAACTTAGTGGCTACTAAAAATCCCAATTCAAATTCTTCTCCATTTTCCTTTCTTTCGGAGTTGGATAAAGCTTGAATAATATCAATTACTTAATCACAAAGCACATTTACACATATAAATTAAAAAATCCCATGTAATGCCATTGAATTTCATTCTTTATGATTCCATTTTTTGTTCGTAATTATCCTTTCTTCTCTAGTTAATTTAAACCATCTTTTTCCATTTCATGTATCTACGAGTATTCTAAAATGCCTCTCATATAGAGTATGCATATGGTAATGCAATCAACCCATTTCCTTGACTGCATATGCATGTATTTGTATTAAAAATTGTGTCAAAATTAACCTAACAAAGTCTAACTCATTTTTATAACTTAAAAAATGTAAATTGAGCCCAACAAACATCAAATTAGCCCAAATCATCCTAGCCCATGAATTAGGTACAAAAATATGTAGGATTTTAACATTTGAAAAAATCAAAGATATTTAAAATCGTAGAGTTGAAAACTATTTGCATCAAGTTCAATCCTCCTTCTTTTTCAATCTTCCTCTAGTTTTACTAGCAATTAATGCTAATAATACAAAATCTTGGATTGTTGATGGTTGTGAGGAGGAGGAGGTTAACAATAATATCTTACCATCTACAAGAAGTAATAGAAATTCTCGAGTTAAAATAAGGGAACGATGAAAATGATTTTGCATTTAGTTATTTATTAGTTTAGAATATTTAAAATAATATTAAATAATTAAAATGCATAATTATACATATGCTTCACATAGGCACGTATATGCTTGTAATGCTTGATGCTTGATTGTAATACATTGTTGCACATTACCCATTTTAGAATCTTGGTATTTACCATCTTTTTTTTCCCATTTCAATACACATTGTTGAACTCCGAAAATGGCTAACAGGTGTCATTAGAAGATAGTGTACATGTGAATATATTTCATAGTATGTAAACTAGTAATAGTATATTTGTAGAAAGAGATGAACATTAGGCAATGGAAATATACTGTATTCTCTTATCTATATATTCCAAGATCTTTTCCATCGATACAAGAATTGCTTATTTATAGTGACCAGGCCGATGTGGTTACCATTGGAGTGGATCCACGTGACCTGATCTTTCGACCCTTAATGAACACATCAACTCTATTACATTAATTACATTGATAGACTTTTGATAAGAGGTTAGCCACTCTACAAACCAAGGCTAACATCCCTAAAACTTATTAACTGCGCACGTCACATTAGTAGTCAACTCTGAAGACGTGCTTTCTCAACCCTCTTCCGTTTGTAAAGGACTTCGGATACTTAGGGAGCTCGGTAGCAGAAGATTAACCACCTCAGAAAGAAAGATAGGGCCACTTCGACTATTCTCAGTGAAACAACCTCGGCGCTCAATTCGACAGCTTCGGATGTTGATTCCTTTTACATGCTTGCCATGTGTCCAAATATGAAGACCCCCACGTGGGTCATTTTGTATGATTAATAAAAATAGTCCCCAAATCTATGTACAATCATTCATAGGATACATGGAATTTACATTCTCTTGATCAACTTCGAACAAATGAAGAAATCCATAACGCCAATCCCCCAAGTCCAATTTTTTGCATATTCTCAAGAATCTGCCAAATGTCTATGTCAATGACCATCAGGACAGGGGCCGAGGCATATGTGCCTTGTACATATAAGTGGCCTTTGATCAACGTATATGGAAAGTCAAAGTTATAAATGCCCAAGTTACTGAATGTAAAATCCGAGGTGATTTGTGTTAAGCGAAGTTACATGCTATGTGAGACGGCTTGGATAGTTTGAACGTCTTTCACAATTTATTACCACGGATTGCTATGCTGCTGTTTGGCCTTCCTGAGGAAGACGGTGCTCTCAATTTTCAACGTATTCTACATGTTTTGATCTAGGTCTTGAAGCTGAAATGTTGATCCTAACGAATGGTCTGTAAGTGACCCAAATTTGGATGGTCCGGATCTTTGAGATTTAATGGTTAAAAATGCAAGTGTTTGCCGATAAAAGGCTCATTCTTGAACATTCATTTGCTGATGTCACTTGCTTTGTCTCGTTTCTTTACAATATGAACAAAAATCATACTTGTACTTGGTGGATTTTGAGGAAAGTTGATGTGAGGAATTGCTTGGTTTTGGATAATGCTATGAAGTGTAAATTGGGTGGTCCTTGGGTACAGTGTACAGGATGCTTGGATCCGTAAAAATGAAAATGCAGCCTCAGCAAACTCTTCTTTGAATGCACTGGGAACAATGCTGAAGTGCGAAGGGTGGCCCATTACCTTCAATAAATCATGTTGCAATAGGGTATAAATTCCATCCGAAGTGCCTTGGGTCGCACTATGTATATCCACAGGAATTGGTACCAACGTGCCTCCTCTGGGCCGCTAGGCTATCTCCTCTACTAGCATTTACTTGGAAGAGTGTATTGTAGCGATAGCTTTGAGTTTCAACATGGTCTGACAGACCCCACAATTGTAAAGGTTGCAGTATACGGCAGAAGTACTAAAAAGTAAGAGATTCAGCGGTTTATGTGTCTGCTATACTGATTATGCTTTATCATTGTTGATCATTTTTCATTGTTTTTGTGAGCACTTTCTGATGCTTTGTAAGTGGCTGGTTGCCCTTGATTGCAATGTGTTTGGAATAATGAATAAAATATTTACCTTTTTATGTGAATATGTGTTTGAACTGGACTTTAAATCGTTACTGCTTCATAGTTGGGGGTATTTCGAGAAGGTCCTGCCCTTGCAGTAGTCCTCCTGTGTTTTTTATCCATTTATAGGTGACATATTTCAGCTTTATAGGGTCAAACCCTTCACGTTATTCTGCCTTTGGGGCCAGTTTTTATTTCTAAGATAAACCCCTTCGGGTTTTAACGTCCCTTACCGAGGTACGACCTCTTGGGCTGAACCTCATTGACGTTTGCCATCGAGCTCACATTCTAAAGTGCCTCTATAGGCTAATGCCTTTTGGGCTACTTTTTTCTATTCCTTCGAAGGAATTGCCACGAAAAATGTCAT